CCTCCACCCCACGTCGAGGAGCGTGAAAAGACAAGCACCACACCCATCACCTTGTTCTTTGGTTGCAAAAGCATCAGCCCTCAAACGTAGGGATTCTCAACAATCCAACTGGTGTCGCGGAAACCATGGCAGATCTCGAACTTCAAGCTGTCCACGATGAGATGGTGGCCATTGCCTACGAAGCTGGCCGCATGATTCTCCGTGCCAACCCGGCTGACCTCGACACTGGTACCAAGCTGAACTGTATGTCTGGGAGAAAGGAGGTCTAGACTCTCAGGCTTCAAGAACCACATCACCGAGTGCTGTCGTATTTGGAACTATAATCACTAACTGCAGACTTCTTTGGTCAGCCGTCGACATTGTCACCGAGGCCGACCAGGCTGTCGAGAAGATGGTGTCGAGCAGACTGGCTGCGTCATTCCCATCCGTGTCCTTCATGGGCGAGGAGACGTATAAGCCTGGCATGAAACTTGGACCGGAACCTACCTTTGTCGTTGATCCCATCGACGGTACGTTCGATCCGCCGTAGTCGCTCCTCTCATCCTTTCAAGCCTACCAATGCTCAATACTCAATACTCACAGGCACCACCAATTTCGTGCACTCCTTCCCAAACGCCTGCATCTCCCTCGGTCTCGCCGTCCAACGCTCTCCCGCGGTAGGTGTCATCTACAACCCGTGGCAGGACCTCCTATTCACGGCCATCAAAGGCAAAGGCGCCTACATGACCCGCAATAAGGGCACGGCTCCTCAAAAGCTGCCCCTGGCCAAATCTCCTCGCCCTCTCCGAGGCCTGGGGACATCCCTGATCGCAGTTGAATGGGGCTCCGACCGAGAGGGATCCAACTTTGAGCTCAAGACGGACGTCTTCAAGAAACTGGCCGCTAGTAGGGAAACGGGTGGCTCCATGGTACATTCGCTTCGATCTCTGGGATCCGCCGCTCTTAACATTGCTGCCGTGGCTGCTGGCCAGATAGACGCCTACTGGGAAGGTGGATGCTGGGCCTGGGATGTCTGCGCCGGCTGGTGTCTTCTAGCTGAAGCTGGGGGGAGGATGGTTAGCGGAAATCCAGGCAACTGGGATCCTGAGCTGGAGTCGAGGGTGTATTTGGCCGTGAGAGGCGCCCCGGCGGGCCAGAAGGAACTGGTGGAGGAGTTTTGGAAGGTTATTGGTGACAGAAAAATGGAATACTCTGTTTAATCTTATGACTTTGATGTTGGAAAACTAGTCGCACAGTTACAGTTTCATAGAATGAGATACAAAAATAACAGTATAGACGCCTGGATGAACAGACATGAACCGTAGATTTTACTCAGACCCTGTCTACACTGAGGAGTAATGTGGGATATGATGAGATTTTAGTTTAAACTCTACGTATATCAAAACTTCTTCCATGCATCATGCATGCCAATGAGTTTCCTCACGAGCTGTGTGGCGTGGCATGGGGACAATGCTTAAAATTATTCCATCTAATTCACTTATTCCATTCTCTGGGATAATGATGCGAAATTCAACCTTCCCACCATTTCCCAAGAAACCGTTTTCTGAGACGTCCCCTTCGTTTTCCACTTCGTCTCCCTGGTCTCATCACCAACTTTCCCAAAATCTACCATCACGGCCCAGCACTAAACTTGCTCCTCGCTCTCAACGCAGCACCGTACTTCCAGAGCAAAAACGGCGCCGGCCACCCAATAACAATGGAGATGATGGCTAGCAAGGTGCCGCCCATCCCATACCCTAGATTCTTATACATTGTCGGCGCAAACAGCGGGAACCCGAAGCCGGCCAGGCTACGAAGCACGGTGATGGCGCCCACGGCACTGGCGGCGTACCGGGTATACGAGTCGACAATGTATCCCTGGACGCACTGAAATCCGATGATGGAGCCGAAGCCAAACACGGCAGCGCCAACGTTGGGCCCTATCCAGTGCGTGGGCGCCTCGGCCGTCCACGCGTAGATGGAGATGCCGATGGGGACGAGCAGCGCGCCCGGAATCATCATGGGGACGCGGAACTCTGGCCGCCCTGGTCCTCCGTCGGGCACATGGCGACGCTTGAGGGCTGCGTAGACGCGGTCCTGCAACGGGGCGCAGACCTGGGTCCCCAGGAAGAAGCCGACGCCGACGGAGATGTAGTTGAGGCCGATGATGCCTGGGGTCTCGCCGTACTTGGTCGCGAACAGGGTCGGGAAGGTCGAGAAGATCAGGTATATCATGCCGTACAGGAACATGAGATACAGCGAGAGGACCTGGATAATGGGCTGGGTGGCCAGCAGCCTGAACGGCCGCGTAAATGCATTCGCCAGGGTTTGGAGCAAGGTCCGGTCTGGATGGTCAAACTCGGTGTGCAGCTTCGTGTTGCCAGTCTCCTTGATGAGACGCAGCTTCTTGCGGTGCAGCAGCACGGGAGCATACGTCTCCTGGAGGAAGAACAGGCCAAAGACCTGGATGATACCGCAGGCAATTGTGGTGCTGTAAAACACCCAGCGCCACGTCGTGCGCTCTGCAATCCATCCGCCCGCCACAGGACCAACGGCCGGCCCAAGAAGCGGCATGAGAGAGTAGATGCTGATGGCTCGGCCTCTCTCCTCGGCCGTGAACAAGTCACTCAGGACGCCGCCGCCGATTGCCAGCGGTGCTGAGCCGCCTATGCCGGCGAGAAATCGAAAGGCAATCATCTGGCCTTCTGTCTTGGCAAGGGCGCAGCCCAGGTTGAACAGGAGAAAAGCAATGTTGGAGCTCTGGATGACGACGACTCGGCCGTACAGCTCGGACAGAGGACCCCAGCCCAGAGGACCGAGTGCGTACGCCGCAACAAAGATGGACAGGACCAGCGCGCGCTCCAGCTGGCTCTCAATGTTGAGTTCCTTGCCAATGGCTTCGAGGTCGGGGGCTACCATTGACGAGGCAACGGGCGATATGAGCGTGAAGGAGGACACTGTTTGGGGTTCAGCACGAGAGACGTGGATGGTGTTGATTCTCGAATCGTGGGCGTTTCGCCTTTTCTCAACTCACCGCACATGACAGCCGCCCACTTCCTCTTGTGCTGCCACATCTTTGGATTTTGCGCGTCGTCTGGCCCATCCCACGACACCAGGTTCGGGTCTTTGAGCTCGTCATTCTCCCCAGCACGGGCATGGGCATTGTCTCCGTCCTTGCTGCTTCCGCGCTCCAAATCCCGCTGGTTCTGGATCCCGTCTCTCACTTCTGAAACCACCGTCGTGAGCGAACGTCTTGATCTCGCCGACCCGACTCTTGATAATGAACGTCTTTCGCCCTCAGTTTCATGGTCCGAAGAACCATCATCCGAGTCCGCCAAGACAGCAGGCCGTTCGTGCTTTTCATCGTCAAACATGTCTGGAGTGTCCGGAGAGCTGTTTCCCGTGGCCAAAGAGGCTTGTTTTCCCGCCAATTCTCTGGTGTTTTCTCGCGTCATGGATGCCATGGATTTCTATCCGACGACACTCATAACACTCCAGCATGGCCAACTACAGTCTCCGGCAAAGGTATATTTTGCCCCCTCTCCCGCCACCAAGTATACACTAATATACTATTGTATATTAATGTATAGAGCGGCACGGCGACTCGCTTGGTCGAATAGGGCCTTGGACTGCCACTGCACAATGACACTCAACTGGCTGCCTATCCCGAATACACAAGAGAGGCTATTCGGAACAACAAGGATGGAAAACAGTAGAATCCATCTGAACTCGGGGACAGGGCGGAAAAGAGTCAGGTTCACCCACCCCTCGAGTAGGAGCTACCTAACAAACAGCACCGTCTCACGTCGTAGCAATGGGGACGCTGTACAGATTCCTGCAACGTGACTACTTTCCTTTGTCGGGACTTCTACCCTTGAATCCCGCCCGACTTCCGCACGGGTGCCGAACCGGCGCCGCTCCCAAGCGCCCCTGTGGCGGACTATACCTCTCTGACCGAAGCAAAGGCATCTTGCAGGGGAAAGGGTAAAAGAAAATCGGACCCTCTGCCCCAGTCCATGGACAAAGATCGCCGACAAAGAGGAAGGAAATTCCCAAGTTTGCATGTCCTCATTTTGCATCCGGCCGAGTTTGGCGGGGCGTATGGAGCCGGACTTGGCTCGACCTGGCCGCAATTGCTCGGGGCGCTCACGCTCCATTACGCCCTGATTTTGGTCTAGCGGCCCCGCTGCCGCAGCCCATAGTACGTTTTAGGTATAAAGGCCTGGTCTAAGTACCAATACGGAATAGCTCTCAATTAATCTAGCTGTAATATTGAATTTTTAATAACGCTATGCCAGGCGGGCTTTAAATCGTTTAAAAACGTGATTTCCGGTGTTCTTAATAAATGTGTACATAATGAAGCCGGATTTTCTGATTATTCCGACTACCAAGAGGTCTCCTACATCTATCCGGCCACATCTGTCGGCTGTGATGGCGGTTTTATGTTCACCGCACCTACCAATACCTTTATACCTGAAATGTACCTGTTAGCCTAGCAATAGGCGTGAGCGCCCCGAGCAAAATAAGGTGAGCGCCCCGAGCAATTGGCACCTGGCCAAGCCTAGGCATAGCGACCCAGTGTTTTTGCGACGGGAAAAGTCCGTGGGGAATTTTCGGGGATACGTTGTGTGCACGGAGCAGTATAGGAGTTGTTGTGTTAAAAAAGTCGGCGTGTTGCTGCCGTGGGGAAACATCCCCTGTCCATGGGCAGTACGGCGAAATATCGGCCGAAACCACACAGTACCGGCTGATTGGCGATTCCAAGGGTGTCTTATGATCTTATCCCACTGCGTTTTTATCAAGCTCTGCAAGCACATACTCACCATAACATTGACTTGGCCCGAAGAAACAAAGTGTATGCTGATGTCTTGTACTTCCCGCAACTTATTCATGTCGAATAACAGGCCCGTATCATAAGTGACCTTTATCTGCGATACATTCCAAACCTATTAAGCCCACAACGCCCAAACATTGAGATACAAAACATGAACACATCAAGTCCCCCTCCAGTTGACCCCTGTTTATGCCTCTGTAGTCTCCTTAGTATCGACCTTTTTGGCTGCAGGTTCCTCGCCAGCAGCAGCATCCTCCTCCCGAGCTCGCTTTCCGTTGGATTCCTTTTCCTCGGGAGCACTCCTATAGCACGTTAGCATATGCCGTTCTCGGAAACAATGCAATAAATCAGATGAGACGAGAATCTTACTCAGAGTACGTGGCGTCCTTGACCTGTTCATTATCCCGGCGGCCGCCGTCTCTACCGCCTCGGCCAAACCCACCGCGGCCACGGCCGCCGCGACCTCCCCGACCGCGTCCACCGCGTCCATCTCGGAAGCCATTCTTCTGATCGTGCTCACGCCTCTTCTTCCAATCATCCTGATCGCGGCCGCCCTTTTTTCCTGGTCGCGCTTTGCCATCCTTGCCTTCATAAAACTTCCTAGGCCCGTTGGAGCTCGGTTCGATCTTACCCTGGCGAATCAGATCGCTCTTCTCGTCGCAGTAAGCCTTCTTCGTCATCATTTTCAACTCGTGTCCCTTCCAGGTAGGTTTCGGCTCGGTAGCGAGGAACTTCTTGGCAGCGTCTTCATCCACAAACGTAACGAAGACGGAGCCCTTAAACAGGTTCTCGTTGGTCCGGCGTAGCTTCAGGCCCTTGACCTCGCCAAATTGGGCAAAGAAACTCTCCAAATCAAACTGCGTATCTGGGCTTTCGTCGCCGAAGCCCTTGACGTAGACGGTAGCGGCCTCGGCCTTGGCCTTGCCCTCGGGCATAGGCTTGTAGGGCGTCTTGCGCTTGACCACTTCAGCCCCCTCCTCGCCCGAGACTTCAAGGAATTTGCTGTCGCGCAGGGCGGCGACGACGGCGCTGTAGGGCTGGAATGTGCGCATGCGTTTGAAGGAGTGAATTTTAGTGATGGGTATGGGCTTGTTTTCGGAGCCGCCGCAAGTTTCCCACATGAATTTGTCCTGGGGGAAGTTCCAGTCTCCAAAGTAGAACTCAACCTAGGTTCGGGTTAGGCTGGATTCTTCCAGATGTAAACAACATTGGCTGGGGAAGACAAAGGCCAAAAGGGATTGCCGACAATGTTCTCACCTGCTTGCGAATAGCTTCGGGGTCATCTGTCACCTCCCGAACACTAGGGTCAAATTTGTTGTTCTTCTTGACGTCCTTGTAGTTCGTCTGCGCAGTCGTCTTTATCATAGAGGTATCCTCATCAGCAGCAGCGGAAGTCTCCTGCTGCTGCTCGACGGGAGGGGCCTCGGCGGAAGGGGCCTCGACGGGCTTGGTAGTGGCATCGACCTCGCTCATTTTGTCGGCACGAGAAGATATCCTCCGACTATGGTTGTCCCGACAAAGAATGCGACAGTGTGCTCCAACTTTAGGGGTCCTGCAGAATAATAAAAAGGCATGAGCGTCAGTCGCATTCATGCTCAGTGGTGGGGTCTAGGGCAGCGCGAAAAGCGAAAGAGTCATAATTGCGGAAGTGCAGGTCCGGCGTTGGCAGCATATGAGCCAATCCATCTTACCTTGTTGCGACAAGTATGCCTCGAGGAAAAAAGAAAACCGTAGACGAGAGCGTTGCGATGGAGGGGGATGGCAGTGTTTCTGGAGGTAGCTCGACTGAATTGTATCCACGGGGAAAAAAAAAATGGCGATTCTGCCGTTGCGCAAAAAGCTTGGGAAACCCGGGTCCCTGCGAAACTTGACTCACCGCCTACACAGTGCAGACCGGGTACATAACGGAGGACACACAACTTGTACCACCGGAGACAGAGCGGTCCTTTCACTCACACTGACCTATGGCATTCCACATCAAAACCAATTTAGTTACCCTGTGATTGCATCTCCTTTACTTTCCTTGCTGTATTTCTGTATTTGCATCGCCAACCCTGCATTCTCTGGCAACAGCACAAGTGATGGCCATGGCCTACCAGCCACTCGGCAATCGGCGCTAGTCAAACAAGCTCCAAAAGACCCAAAGAGAGAAGGAAGAGAGGGGAGGGGGGAGGACGCATTGATGAGGGAGCTAGCACCTCGACGTTTTCCCATCCCTATGACATAAGCTTCCCGCCGGCACCAAACACCAAAATAAGCTTTCGATCCCATGTGAAAACGCAAGCTTTGCCATCTTCATATCTCGTCCGTTGTCTTGCCGCCTGTCCTTCTTTCCTTTGTTCAATTCAATTGACCTTATTATCGACCGGTCGTGGCCAACATGCACCAGTAGTGACACTTCTAGCCTCCAACCTCTACCCGTAGTCCATCGAGTGATCGGTTTTTGCAGTTCTGCCGAGCTGATTGACTTCGCAATGAAACGGCTCGGCAACCTCACCAAGGGTTTGCCGGCTCTCAACCCGTCACTGAGAGCTGGTTCCCGCCCTGTCGGTCCATCATTGCACAAGAAATTTCAGCATGGTTTCTCTACTGTGTCGAAAAGGACCACCGCTATTGGTGCAAGCTTACCTGCCACCATTGTAGCTGGAACTTTATTTATCTGGTGGCTCTATCCGACAGATGAATTTGCAAAGCTGTCTCCTCCACGTCCAAGGAGGAGACGGCACTATTACGATGATGAAGAGGTGGATGAACAGGAAGACCAGGACGAAGATGAGTATGACGACCAGCCTGAGACGGCCTGGGACAGCTTCGCGAGGCGCATCGAAAACATCGCCATCGTCACCGAGACAGAATGGTCCGCCTTCTCCGAAAGAGTTGCGGACATGATCATTCCAGACTGGTCAAAACTGGTCCCCGGATACTTGCGGAAACTTCAGAGGGAGCTTTCCATGGCCCCAGGGTCTCTTGCCGATGAGATCTGGGAGGACGCCCACGATCCCGCCATCAATCCCGAAATTGCATACACGGCTCAGGTTCGGGTATCCTCGCAATTATGTGACGATGAGAAAGAGTTTCTAGCGAGGCGGAAACGTGTCATAAAAGTTGCTCTGGCCAAGTACCTCGGGCTTGATGAACATGAAATCCATCCTGATGATATACCCACTATTGCCATGTGTGGATCAGGGGGTGGACTGCGTGCTCTTGTGGCTGGCACTGGCTCACTCATTGCTGCTGATGAAGACGGTCTTTTTGACTGTGTCACTTACACGGCCGGTGTCAGCGGTTCGTGTTGGCTACAAACCTTGCTCAACTCATCCATAACCGGCGGCAACTTCAAAAAGCTCTTGGAGCATTTGAAAAACAGAACATCTGTTCATATTGCCTACCCACCAGTCGCCTTTCAGTCTCTAGTTTCGATGCCCACCAGCAAATATCTCTTGAGTGGTCTCGTGGAGAAGCTTAGGGGTGACTCCAAGGCCGACTTTGGTCTGGTCGATGTTTACGGTTTACTACTGGGAGCACGATTTTTGGTACCCAAGGGCGAGCTGGGGGTCAACGAAAAGGACTTCAAGTTATCTAATCAGCGCGACGCCATCAAATTCGGGGATCGCCCACTGCCCATTTACACGGTTGTTCGACACGAGATTCCTCAAACTGAAAAGACGAATCGTGGGCCGACGGAAAGGGAAAAGAAAATAGCCAAGGAAGAATCATGGTTCCAATGGTATGAAATCACGCCCTACGAATTCTTTTGTGAAGAGTTTGGGGCTGGCATTCCCACCTGGGCCATGGGACGCAAGTTCAACAACGGCAAAGACGTACCGTCGGAAAATAGATTCCACTTGCCTGAAATTCGAGTGCCTCTGTTAATGGGTATTTTTGGGAGTGCTTTTTGCGCAACTCTCAGTCACTACTACAAGGAAATTAAGCCTCTGGTCCTGAGCATATCTGGATTAAGCGGGGTTGACCAGTTTGTGTCTGGCCGTGATAACGACCTGAGCAAAGTTCATCCCATTGAACCAGCCAGCATCCCTAACTTTGCCTACCAAATGCATGGCAAGCTGCCGGACACCACACCGAAGAGTATATATGAGCAAGAGCACATCCAACTCATGGATGCTGGCATGTCTAACAACCTGCCCATCTATCCACTCCTCCGCCCCGGCCGAGACGTCGACATTCTCATCGCATTTGACGCCTCCGCGGACATAAAAACAGATAACTGGCTCTCCGTAGCGGATGGTTATGCTCGTCAACGTGGTATTAAAGGTTGGCCGCTAGGCATTGGATGGCCAAAAGCTGGCGAATCAGTCGAAGAAACCACCATGCAACTCGTCGAAGCAGAGGCATCCTCATCTCAGGAGGCAGCACGGCGCGTCAAACAAGCTAAGCAGGATCAAGAGTCACTTCGCCAGACTGCCGGCTCCATCGCGGAAGATCCTCAAGCTGACGACAGAGAAGCTAAATACAGCCCTGGAAACGAGGAAGCCGGTGACTTGGGCTACTGCACCGTCTGGGTCGGTACCACGCAAGAACGGTCTCCGCATCCTCCGCCGCCGGCTAAAGCAATTAACGATACCAATAAGTGGCAGCTAACAGAACCGGATGCCGGTCTAGCTGTAGTATACGTCCCCTTTCTCGCTAACAAGAAGGGGCCCGATATTTCTCCTGGAACAACAGACTTTTTGAGCACTTGGAACTTTGTATATACACCTAATCAAATCGATAGCGTGGTGGATCTCGCGAGAGCAAATTATAACGAGGGAAGGAATCAAATCCGGTCTACTGTTCGGGCAGTCTATGAGCGGAAGAAGTTGCTTCGCGAACGCGCCGAGAAGAAACGTGTTCAAGGACTCGAAATCTTGAGTACCTAGGTAGCTAATACTCTGTGACTATTTGTCGGTTGAATGGATGCACGCAATGGAGTCCACGGGTTGTTGAAATAGAACTGTCTTGTCGCAGGCACCAATGCCTCGGTTATATATTATTTGAAACACGCCCCCAAGGAACGAGTTTTGGCCAATTGTTCTACAATGTATCGTTAATGTACAGTGGCGTGTTTTTATCCCCAGAACATCCTTATTCTTTACAAGTGCCATCCCCCTTCTCCCAAACACCGGGCTTCCACCCCCAATGCGAGACTTAAATGATTTCACCAACATCAATATGCGGCGCTTTCCAGGGCTTGGCACCCTCTTCCATCATGTCGCTCGGGACGCGGACCTTGTTCCCTGGGCTATACAGGTACCATGCCTTGAGCGCGTTCATGGAAGCCTTGCGTCTAGCAATATCCAAACTGGGACCAGCGCCTTCTCCCAGCTTCTCTTTGCCGCTGTAGATGCCGACCACATAAACCGGTGTCCTCGACAATCGACCGGTTTCGCTCTCCAGTCGAGCAACGGGAGACTCAAAACCTTCCCGCGCACAGAGCATGGCCAATTCCCGCGTGGGGAGTTGGAACTGGAACAGCACAGAAGGATCAAAGTGTCTCGACAGAATATGAGATGTGACAAAGGACTTGGCAGCTTCCCGACCACAGTGGGCATAGATAGATCCCACAACAGCCTGGACAAAAGATGCAAATGCCTCATTCTGCAGACTGTCCACGCCCTGCCGGCCAGCAATCTCCGGCTTGCTCAGCGCATCCCCGAAAACGTCATCCAAAACGACACGGCTGCTCATGCCGCGTCTGTACGAGCTACCTTTTTCCACCTCGGAGCGGACATACCCCCATCGCCTGTTGACCAGCTGCTCCCCATCGGCCCTCCACTGAAGCAATCCCGCATCGACCTCCTCCCCTGGGGCGGCAGCGGCCTCAACACCCCATCTCCGTGCGACCTGCTGCAGCGATTCTTGCCCAGAAAACGCCCTCAACGCTTCGTACAAGATAGCCATCGGCAAGCGAGGCCACTTGCATACGAGATACTCGAGCACATGGTAATTTATAATGGTGCTTCCCAGGAACGCCAAATTCGCATTATTAAAGCTGCCATTGGCATCGGCCGAGGGCGTAATCAGCGCCCGCGCGAGAGTCTGTAGCGGAATCTTGGCAGAGAGTGCCAGTCGAGCATGTAAGGCGGCAAGCTTGGCCGACTCGAGACTTCGTTGGTGAGGAGGTGAAGGGGCGGCGCGGGTGGTGTGTTCGGCGGCGGCTGCGTCGTCCGCGAGGTTTTCGGGCGCAATGGCAGCAGATGATTGGCATCGCAGAGATCGGAGGAATGGCTGCCTACCGGCGATGGCCATCGCGGCAGACGAGGAAGCTCCTGAGCGAGCTCGCAGCAGCTGCTTGCTGCTCCATTGTGATACTCGTAACCTCTTCATTTGGGAACGCGGCGGAGGAGAAGGACAAAAAAAAGGAAGGGGACTGCAAAAGTACAAAACAAAGTGATTGAAAAAAAAAGAATTCTGCCCCTTCCTCCAATCCAAAGTCGTGCAGCCGAAATAATAGACGCCGTCGGTAAGTGGGATGGCGTTTGTCGACAAAGGCGCAAATATATCGAACCAGGTCCAAATTAGAACCGTTGCAGAAAAAGTTCTGCGGTTTGGACCGTGGCAACCCTGAGCAAAGCACGGAGTCGTGTGAGCGGCTCCTGTAAGAGGGTCGAGTGGCCAGCTTCTCAGTGGCCTCTGAGCAGAGCAGCGTGGTGCACCAGTTGATCTCTGGGGTGGAGTTCTACGGAACAATTTTCGGACCGTTGCTCAACCAGCGCCGCTGGGACGTGGTGGATGCTACTCGGCGCTTCTGCAGACCTGGGAAGGACAAGAACGAAGGCCCGTCCATTCATAGACGCAATTGCGCACCTCAATTCGATCCTCACACGTCCGTTGGCAATTCAATTAAAATGGTAAGTCATTTCTACTTCTTTGCCGACGGGGCTGCGATTACAGCAACTAATGTGATGTGCATAGGGCGGTGGTGGAAAAGTCCCGTAAGTCTTTGACCGCGATCCATCCGAGTCCCTCGATTGCGATCCCCCGATGGCGCCCCTACGACTGCCTGCACGCGGCAAACTCTACACGAGGTTTCTAATACGCAAGTCTTTCGGAAAACAGGTACCCCAAGCATGTCTGGTCACCAGCAGGTGGTTGGTACGCCCAACCCGGCAACTGGAGAGCAAACACCCTCGTCGCAGCCGGCATCATGGTCGGCATTGTCGCCGTAACGTGGAAGTTCAGTGCCGAGAGAGAAGTATGGGCTCGCAAACCGGAGCCTGGGGAGTGGCACCCTAGCCGACTGTACGTCGAACCTCCCCCTTTCCCTCCGCGATCGGATTTTCTGCATTTGGATAGAAGCCGTGGCACATGAAACTAATTTTCCTTGTAGCTGGTCAAAGCAGTTGATTCAGTGGGATAATGAAGACCGGGCGAAGGAGCAGGCAAATGCGAAGGAGTAGGGCAACAGAACGGTGGAAAGCTCGGAAGTTCCCCCTGATGGAATCGGGATTGGGACACCGCTTTGTGTATAATCTTGATCAACCGAAATATCCTTATGCCTACAATTGGCCAGCTTCCACAATTCTCTGCTCTGGTTCCGTTTGCCCAACATCGAGGCGGGCTTGTGATTAGTCCTGTCGGGCGGCTACGAGGCCCATGTCATTGGGCTGCTGGTCTTTTAGCACGCTGCTAGTTGATCCCACAAGTTGTTAGTCTATTCCACAGTTCTGACTGTTTTCCACCCAACGTTGGCTTTTCTTTCGGGTCTGTTGCACAAGCAAGTGCCACCAAAAGCGACAGGTGTAGTATATCCATGTTGCAATTGGTAAAAAGTAGGGAAATTGGAGAGGCACACGGGTTACACATGTACAGGAATCTAAGGTAACTACATGGCAAAAGCATTGTGTATACACACACACACACACACACACACACGCGCTCTCTCTCTCTCTCTGTCTCTCTGTCTCTCTCTCTCTGTCTCTCTCTCTCTCTCTCTCTGTTCTCTCTCTCTCTCTCTCTGTCTCTCCCCCCTCTCTATCTCTGTCCCCTTCCCTCCTCCTCCCCCAATAATGGAATTTGGAGCGCCTGCATTGTTACAATTATCAAATAGTCGGCTGAGCTCCGATATTGATGCCTGGTGTTTCGCGTCTTCTTTGCCGCTTGATGTGCCTCTTGATGTGGTGAAGCGGGCACGCACGATAGACAGACGGGTTGACTAGTCATAACGGGACGCGAGACCAACCGGACACCTTGACCACTCAGATCCCTTTGAGATGAGGAGCGCACGGTAGCTGGGCGGAATTTTTGACCATGGACATGCCTGGAACTGGCTCAATGAGTAGAGGTGCGTGAATGGCTGTGTGATTGACGTATGACTTGCACGCCGTCACGGAGTAGTAGGGCATGCAGAGGGACGGAGCATGGTGACATGGCATGGGGCAGTGAGTCTGACACAGACAGACCATGGTGTGCCTGAGAGTGTTAAGACAGATAACGTTATGGCCTCGAGTCCGATATTGACTTACATAATTGACAGAACGCAAGTGGCGCTTTAGTGAACTGGTCGCTGTTACAAGACCACATGCAGGCGGAATACGGAGCTCGGGGAGGGTTCTGGAGGCCCGTGGCCAGTGAGCGCCAGTGAGTGAGTCTGGTGGCCAGTGAGGGGGGTGCCTGTGCGTGGGTCAACGATTTGGTGCCCCCTTTTGTTCTCAGGCAGTTCCGCTGACAAACGTCATCACGACCCTGAATCGCCGCCCCACGCCACTTCTGGCTTTGACTCTTTGACCAACATTAAACATCGATGATTGAATTTGCCCATAACCGGAACATAGCACTTCCCCTCTTGTTGACGCTGCTGCCATCTGGCCCTTTATTTTCCTATTTACCCATTTTTCCAGGTGCTCGTGTGCGCTCGATATTTCAACCAGACTCCAACGCCACAGCAGCCTGGCCCATTGCCACCTTCAGCAGCTCCGCCGTCGTCTGTGTGCCCGAATTTACATGATATATTGATTGCGTGGGGATGCGCACCACGGCCCATGCATCCTTACACTTTCAACGATCCTAACCCTACTTCATCAACCTAGGTACTTGACAAATTTTTGCCGACACGCATTCCGGCCGCCGACAAGGCGCTCAAGACGATCAGTACGCCCAAGACGCATGGGACACTTACCGACACTGCATCAACACCCTCTCCGTTCATTGCCACGCTGCTCCTGGCTTCGCTTCCCGGGTCCCTCCGTCGACATCTGGACTTTCTGCTTCGTAACTACCTGCCTACCTAAGGTACCTAGGTGCTATGTACCTACCTACTTGCTGAGTACTTTGACGCCTTACTTTCTTAACTTCTTCCCAACGTCGGCATAAGGCATAGATCACATCCTGCAGGCACCTACAACACTCGACTTGTCCTTATCGCCCGCATTTCCACCCGACACTATCTGCTTCTGTTGCCCATAAGTTACGGCCTGCTGGTGCCAACGACTGTTACCGGGGCGGATGAATACTGTCCGTGACCCAGCGCATCTAAGCTACATTACTCTTTCGCTTGATATCCTTCACTCTGGCGTTCCGTGCAATCCGACTTGCAGGCCTTGCCGTGGGCTTAGGTTTCAGCGCTTTTACCGCCTACCAGCGCAGCCAAGCCCAGATGGCGTCTCGGGCCGATCGTGACGGGCATCTCGATGCTGATGCCGGTCGAGAAGTGGTCTTTTGCCACGCCTGTTCTAATGAATGGTACCGCGACGACCATGGTTTGATGTGTCCAAATTGCGAAAGCGAGGTTACAGAAATTGTACGTCCTTCCCAAACTATGGCAGTGCTTGTATGCCACTGTGTGGTATTGACTAAGTGTTCTCATGTTGACCATCATATCCAGGTGAACTCGGATAATGACCCCCGACAAATGGACAATTCGTCAGCCTCATCATCGCCAGGCCTACCCCCCTTACGGCACGCAGACGACTCTGATCCCGATGAAGCTGATATAGAAGAGCATATGGGTCCACAAGGCTTTCACTTCCGCCGGAGTACTCGCACCGACCCGGACGATAGGCATCACGATCCATCTGTCGACCCAGTGTTGCAGCGGTTTCAGGACATGATTCAAAGCTTTAGTCAACCTCGGCGAAGTGAGGGCACGAGCCTTTTCGGCCGTCCAGACAATGACTCCTATTCGCCACGATTCCGACGCACTACAATCACATCCGGCACGTTTGGTGGGGGAACCGCGTCAGTCACGATATTTTCTGGCCCAGTATTTGGGTCTCGCGGTGCCGGCGATGTTGGCGGTGTTGGCGAAGACGGTGATGAGTCCACGAATCCGAACAATTTCGACCCTTTTCAAACGTACGTACCTCGTATTACAAATTGAAAGCTACACGGCAGCTACATTGTCACCATGATAGCCTCTCATCGCCCTAGAAATCCATGAGCTAACTGTTTGTCCAGCATATTTTCCAATGTCATCCGAGATATGGGCCCGCCAGATGGAGCAGGCGAAGGTGGCCCTCAATTCGGTCTTGCCAGAAGCTTGCAAGAGATCTTAAATCATTTTAGCCCGGCTAATGCCATGATGGGCGATGCTGTCTATTCCCAAGAAGCCCTCGACCGCATCGTAACCCAGCTGATGGAAACTACATCACAATCCAACGCAGCTCCGCGAGCGTCTAATGAAGCAATTACCAAGTTGGATCGTAAAACTGTTGACAAGGAATTCCTTGGTCTAGAAGGCAAGGCTGAATGCTCGATTTGCATTGATGCAATGAAGGAGGGAGAACTAGCCACATTTCTTCCATGTAAACATTGGTTTCACGACGAGTGTATTGTGCCATGGTTGAAACAGCACAATACTTGTCCAGTTTGTCGGACTCCGATGGAAAAGAACGAGCGAGGACAAGAAAACAACAGAGGAGAGAGCGCCACAGGTGCTGCTGGCGCACCTGGACCGAGCAACATTCGTTTCCATGTGCAGTCACCCACCCCGCCAGCAAACTTCAGCCGAAACAACTCGGATCACTCACGAGATATTGGGAATAGATCCGAGAACGGTTCTGATACGCCCACGGGCAGAGCGGCGGCAGACTTGGTTTCTTCGGTCAACCTTGATCCTCAGTCCCGACCGTCGAATCCGAGTCAAAGTAGGCTGAATGAAGCGCTCCGCAGCGTGGCAAATACCCAGCGAGAACGAGACAATGATAGGCGGAATCGAGCGAGCACCTCTGAAATGAGCTACGACACGTCACGAATGCAGCGTAGAACGTCGCACTCGCCACCAAGTCCGAGAGCATTCAATTTGGCCGAGCAGGGCGCTCGCATGCGACAAAGAAGCCCTTCCGAAAATGACAGGCGAGGCAATGGAGACCGAGAGCCTCGGCGGCAATCTGGTGCGCTCAGCTGGCTGCGAGAGCGATTTGCGGGGAATGGAAGTGGAGGCAGTCAAGGGTCGTCTCGAGACGAACAGCAACCTTGAGGAGATGATATACTGGTTTTATTTGTACGGCGATTGACGCGTACAGTCTGTGGCAGAAAAAAATTGTCCACCAAGAAGTATCCACTAATATACTATAATATATTATAGTATAGAGCGCGATAGCCAGGTGCCTGACTTGGTTAAATACTTTTTGCCTGCCCCCGTACTTGATATGACAGCGAAGAAACATGCGCTTGCATTCGATATTTGCAGGCTTCAGGTGGTATTTCGTCACGAAAAGCCTCCTGGGTTCCCTTTTTTTTCTTCTCTGTATCTTTTCTTGGCCCTTTCCCCTTTCCTTCTTCCCCCTATTTTTTCTTTGTCTTTTTAACAAAATCTTCGTTCCCAAGATGGGGGCAGGCTCTCAGGCCGTGTGTGCATTGGATTACATTGAGTTGATGAATACAGCAAAGGGACGTCAGATCTATTGATATAGAGCATAAGGTGGAGCAGATTGCAGAATAGCTGACTGAGATACCCCATGTGGAATCAGGGGTTGGGTTGAGACATGACTACATTGAGGTACAGGCGGAACAATATCAGCTACGTTACTTGAGCGGAGGCATGAAGATCCGATGGTCCATAGACCGGTGTGACTTGGATTTTGAGAATGGTGTCTGCCGGCTTTCTAGCCGTGATAGGGTGGCATAGAGCTTTCTTTACCTTTGGCGTAGAGAAGATGCGGTCCTGGGCAACTCGGTGGCCGCTCTGTCTATCAATTAGGGTCTATTGACACAGTCAGGAAGTTGTAGTTAGTTAGGTGAAGGTTATCATTGAAGGCCATTGTTCTTGCGCCAGCTTGTCCTCTGCATCCATTCCCTTTGAACCCAGCAGTTGCTTTTCTGATGCGGGCGCTTGGTTTTATTCAATTAAGAAGCGCAAGCAAAGGATCACATCAAAGGGGGGGGGGGGGGGGGGGTGATAAAAACAAATCAAGGGACTCGGAGAGAGAGAAAGAGGAAGAAGAGGAACCAAAGAAAAAGAAACTGGAAGTATAATGGGTCCTGTTCAGTACGAAGCTAAATGTTGAAAGATGCAAGTTGTGTCTGGTGGGATAGAGGAGGCTCGTGCTGTAGTATTACTGCAGGCATGCCGGTGATGATGACTGCGAATTGACACTATGGCCGGCACTTTTGTGCGCATCCGTCAGTGATGAAAACACACCTCGAGGTCGTCGACAATAACATCGCTTGGCATGCGGCGATAAAATGCTAGATCGGTATTACCCTTCAAACCCCGCCCGACGCTAAGGTAGGGAGGGAGTCTAGAAGAGCAACCAGGGATCGGAGAATCAGCCGGGTCCACATGTATCCATCAAAGGATGGGCGATGAGGCGGACGTTAGGCCGAGGTGAGTCGGAGGGTTTTTTTCTTTTCTTTCGGTTCCCTGGCCTAGCCATGTCTGTGCACTGGGGAGCATCCCGGCACTGAAGTCTAAAAATGCGCATGCGGGAAGCCCGTCCGAATGCTACAGAAAATGGAAAATGCCGCTTACCTCCGACTGCATAACGATGCGGAACCGGGCAACGTCACAGTGCTCTTTGCCTTGTAGATGATGGATAACATAGTAAGCAAGCCTTGTGGCACGGTCTTTTTTGTTTTTCTTGTCTACCTAGGTACTTAGGTAAGTTTAAGTATCTCTGGTCCCTGAACCCTGCCGATAATATAATTATGGTAACTGTACTTCGTATATAATAATTATAGCCTTAGGAACCTAAGCCGCTATAAAAGTAATAATAAAAGCTTTCAAGTTATTAAGCTTACAATTTATTATAATTATATATATTATTCTATTATATAAAATAAAAAGTATAAGTTATACTAGTATATATTATAAGTAGTATAAGCTTTAATATACATCTCACCTACTAATCTAATTAAAGTAACTGTAATTAGTTGTGGAAATCGAATAATAATATAGTGGGACTAATGTAAGGGTGCTATAAACTAGACCGGCTAAAGGTGCTACTAAATAGAATAATATATTGAATTTTCTTTTTCTAGATTAAAAAAAAAGAAAGGGCTAGATCAAGGGCATCTAGTAACACTGTATTTTGGCTATAGGATACTGTATAATGGATTTTTTTTCCAACTTTCTCCCTTAAGAGCTATGTTGGGCATGTACTTGTGTACAATACTCAGCACTCGGCACACCCCGGGCATATTTTAGCTAGGAAGAAGAGTAAATGACAAGCAATGGTGCATGGCATCAGGGCACATGTGTCGTGGAACCTACCTAGGTATTTAGGCATGCCCAGCGCGTATTGAGATCACGGCGGCGGGCCGTCCGGTATCGTGGACGGGGCAATGGGACGGGTTTCGGGAGGCTAGTCCTCGGCGGGCTGGTGTCCGGCTATTTCATCGCCCACACCGTGTTGTGCATGACGAGGGCGCAAACTTCGGCGGCGTTTTCTCATCACCCAAGCCATTCAGCCAGGCTGCCATACTAAAGCCCCCCAGTGTAAGTGTTGGGTCCGACGTGCCCCCCTAAAACCACGGGTGCTATCCGGAGACACCTATTGGTGTTTGCCATTGTCTGACTGTCTCGGGTAAGCTCAAGAACATGCCGTTTGGATCTAAAACAGCTTCCCTAATCTGCCACTCTCCACACCACAATGGCGGAGTATTCCACAGGCAGGCGTAGCGAGTACGGAGAACGGAGAAGGTAGTGGTTGCAATGGAATTGCCTTCCGGGCATTGCGACGCCTTCGACGGTCGACCTGCGTTGCTGCGTTGCTGCCTTTGTGGACGGCAACATTTGATGCCGAGCTTTGGGAGAAGGCCGGCTCTTGCCCTGTTTCAAGGTTCGTCATTTCAGCCGTTCCTTCCTGCCGTTGGCATTTAGCATCGTATTTAAAACCTCGCCCACTCCGTGCTCTTTGCTTGCCTCGGAAACTCCAACTTCTCCATCAAGCTGCTGAACCATCGAAATCATCGCACTTGGACAGTCGAGCTTGGGCAACTGCCGCCCTACATAAACCGCACCGAGACATATACACATCCATCCATCGCCAAATCGCACCCCGTCCCCGTCAGTACTCTTCTGCCAAAGTGTACCCCGTCCAAGCCAAGGTCAGTCAGTGCATTTCCTTGTGCCAAGCCCTATTGTCCTGCCACACCCGGCCATAAGTATACAAACTAGTAGTTATCAGCATGCGTCGTCTCCATCAATCTGGCGCACCTAGAACAGGGCCGAGTTGAGTTCCCAGGAGCAGAGAACCACAACCCCACGCATTTCCACCTTCACCCCAGAAAGCCCGAGCCCGGGTCTCAGCTGTTGCGCATCTTGATGAAGACAAAGTTCTTGTATAAATGGCTCGGCTGCCCTAGAGTAAAATGGGATGCAAGAGCCGGGCAGTTTTTCTCTCTTTTCGTCCATCCGGTGTTGGCGCACTTCATCTCAAGATAATGCAACATGATCATCTTCTCGAATTTGGCGTCCATGGTCCCCAGGACTGACACAAAGAATCGCCAGTATCCCCGTTACTCGAGCGACAAACCAGAAATGGCCGAAGCAGTTCCTATCCCCGAGCCTCCTGGCCTGCCATTGATCGGCAACCTCGGCGAATTCACGTCTACTCCATTGCAGGACATCAAACGGCTGGCAGACACATATGGTTCGTTTGGTTCCCTGAATCTTTCTGCAATTTGGTAAAAATTACAACTTTTTCTGGATTCCCGCATTCTAAGTTTTCAATCATAGGTGAAATCTTTAGACTTCACTTGGGCACTCGACCCGTCGTCTTTTGCTCCACAAATGAGCTTGTTAATGAGCTGTGTGACGAGAAGCGGTTTCACAAGTCTTTACAGTCAGCTTTAAGAGTAAGCTAACTGCCTTTCTGGACCAGCTTGCCATCTACCATGCTTCTTCTCCTCATAACCAGAGACACAGGCTAATCTTTGGACAAGGTTGTTCGAGAAGGCGTTCATGATGGCTTATTCACCGTAGGTAACATCAAGCCTTTAGCATGCAACCTCAAGGCTGAGTTTTGCCATCTTGCAGGCCCATGATGATGAGCCCAACTGGGGCAAGGCACACCGAGTTCTTATTCCGGCTTTCGGCCCTCTTTCTATTCGCGGAATGTTCGACGAAATGCACGATATTGCTACCCAGCTTTGCATGAAGTTTGCCCGTCACGGCCCTCAGAGCTCCATCAACGCTTCGGATGATTTCACTCGTCTAGCCCTCGACACATTGGCTCTGTGTGCCATGGACTTCCGTTTCAACTCATACTACAGTGAGGAGATGCACCCGTTTATTAAAGCCATGGGCGACTTTCTTACAGAGGCTGGTCGTCGCAACAAACGGCCTGCATTTGCCCCCAACTTTTTCTATCGAGCCGCAAACGAGAAGTTCTTCAATGATATCGCCATCATGAGAGACACAGCCGACCAAGTTGTGGCTAACCGAAAGAAGAACCCTAGTGACAGAAAGGATCTTCTCAGTGCCATGTTGAACGGTGTTGACCCGGCCACGCGTGAGAAGCTGAGCGATGACAACATTACTGACCAGCTCATCACCTTCCTTATCGCTGGCCACGAGACCACCTCCAGTTTGCTTTCTTTTAGTTTTTACTACTTGTTGAAGAACCCTTCAGCATATCAGAAGGTTCAGCAAGAAGTTGATCAAGTTATTGGCCGTCAGAAGATCAAGGTCGACCACCTCACCAAATTGCCATATATTGCCTCAGTATGTAGCCCATGCACCGCAAAGCTTCTGCCCGTCCTTTTGGCTGGTCTAGTCTTACTTTTTATCCCAGGTACTAAGAGAAGCCCTGAGACTGAGCTCTGGTATTCCTGGCTTTTCTGTCGAAGCATACGAAGACACTCTGCTCGCGGGCAAGTTCCTTGTCCGCAAAGGCGAACCCATTACTGCACTTTTGACCAAAGCTCATGTGGACCCTGTTGTCTTTGGAGAAGATGCCACGGAATTTAAACCAGAACGCATGTCTGATGAAAACTTTGAACGTCTGAATAAGGAGTTCCCTAATTGCTGGAAGCCTTTTGGTAACGGAAAGCGTGCCTGTATTGGCCGACCGTTCGCTTGGCAAGAAGCTTTGCTATGTATGGCCATGCTTTTCCAGAACTTCAACTTCACCATGGCCGATCCAAGCTACAATATCGAAGTCCAAGAGACCTTGACTATTAAGCCGAAAGCTTTCTACATGAGAGCCAGTCTGCGACATGAAATGACTCCAACAGAGCTGGAGCAAGCACTTGCCGGAAAAGTTGGTGAGACAACACACCACGCTGTCGCTGTCAATGACGCAAAGGCATCTGGAAATTTTAGTAAGGGCAAGCCTCTTGCCGTTTTCTATGGTTCCAACAGTGGTACCTGTGAGGCGTTGGCTCAGCGGGTAGCAGCAGATGCACCTCGCCATGGTTTCAGGGCCACCACTGTCGCACCTCTGGATGATGCGAACCAGAAGGTACCCAAGGATCGCCCAGTTGTCATTATAACCGCTTCTTACGAGGGTCAACCGCCATCCAACGCCGCTGTCTTTGTTGCTTGGATTGAAAGCCTGAAGGGGAAAGAGATGGAGAATGTGTCATACACAGTATTTGGCTGCGGGCATCATGATTGGGTTCAGACCTTCCACCGAATCCCCAAGCTTGTTGACAGTACGCTAGAGAAGCTCGGTGGAAACCGTATTCTTCCTCTAGCCACTACCGATGCCGCTGATCGAGACATGTTCAGCGACTTTGAGACTTGGGAGGACAACTCTCTCTGGCCTGCACTCCAAGAGAAATACGGAGCCGAGGACAGTGCTGATGCTACAGGTGATGCTCTTTCCGTAGAGATATCGGTGCCCCGCAAGACTACTTTAAGACAAGATGTCGAAGAGGCCATTGTCAATTCCACCAAGACTCTTACCGATTCTGGCTCCGTCAAGAAGCATATTGAAATTCAACTGCCCACCGGCATGACGTACCGCGCGGGTGACTACCTAGCTGTCCTTCCTTTCAACCCCAAGAGCACAGTCTCGCGCGTCTTCAAGAAATTTCAGCTGTCGTGGGATGCCATGCTCAAAATCCATTCGGACAGGCCGACTAGCCTTCCTACTGAGGCTACTGTATCAGCTTCAGATGTTCTCAGAGCGTACGTTGAGCTTAGCCAGCCGGCAACCAAGAGAGTGAGCTAACCACCGCGTCCACCCCAAAACATGCTCAATGCCATACTAACCAACTCAGAACCTCCAGACGCTCATACAGGCTACTCAAGACAAGGATACCGTAGAGCAACTTCAGAAGCTCGCTGGTGATAATTATCAAGATCAGATTTCCAGCAAACGGGTATCGATTCTTGACCTCCTGGAGAAATTCCCGGCCATAAGTCTTCCATTTGGAGCATTTTTGGGAATGTTACCACCGATGCGTGTCCGCCAATAGTAAGCTCCTCATGATAAACTGACAAAATTAAACTCGAGGATGGCTAACGTGTACGGTTTAGCTCCATCTCATCTTCCCCCCTTGCTGACACTACCAAACTGACCCTTACGTACGGGGTGCTCGAACAGCCTGCGCTTTCTGGTCAGGGCTCGTACTATGGAGTTGCCAGTAACTTTCTCTCCTCACTCACAGCCGGAGAACGACTTCACGTTGCTGTCAGACCCTCTCAGGCCTTCCATCTACCCAGCGATGCGGAGAATACCCCCGTCATCTGCATTGGCGCTGGATCTGGCCTTGCGCCATTCCGCGGCTTCGTGCAGGAACGCGCCGCAATGATTGCAGCCGGAAGAAAGGTTGCTCCAGCGTTACTCTTCTTTGGCTGCCGCTCTCCCGAACAAGATGACCTGTACGCCGAGGACTTCGCCAACTGGGAGAAGCTCGGCGCCGTTGATGTCCGCCGCGCTTACTCCCGATCACCCAGTAACTCGAAAGACTGCAAATACGTGCAGCACCGCCTGTCTCACGACCGCGACGACATTGTAAAGCTATGGAAGGCTGGTGCCAAAATCTATGTTTGCGGTAGCAAAGATGTGGGCAAGGCCGTGGAAGAAGTGTTCCTCGATATGGTCCAAGAAGCTGGCAACAACATAACTCCCGAGAAGGCGAAGGAGTGGTTCGATAGACAGAGGAATGAGAGATATCTAACGGACGTCTTTGATTAACTAGTGTGATGATTGTATCATTTGAATTTTTAAATTGGAACGAGTTATGAGAATGAACTAGCAGGGTAATTCAAGAGGGTGAAATTGGATAGTATATGGAATGAAAAGCATTGAATCTTCAGAGACTCCAACTTAGTAGAAAATATTTGGTAAAAGTACACGGGTGTGGTCACCTTGTCGTGTATGGGTGCTATGAAAATTGTCCTTTGCTTTACAAGGAACATCATTACTCACATCTGATTACCAGGCCATATCAGATGCAATATTGGGCACACAAATGCAGGACATGACCATCGTCGCATATGCAACATGCCTCATAACTACTTCACGCGGTGTTGTTTATGATTCAACTAAACCAACTCAACAGGTATCTGGATGCCAACCGACAACGCCACAGTATCCAAACCTCCAAACTTGATCAGTCTGGCCCACCTTACATAAATGCACACATGCCGTCATGACAAAACTCACTATTCCACCATTCTACATTCCCACAGCCCAACATGGTATCAACTGTAGCCCAGCAGCAAAAAGACGAGATTTGCATCATTCATAATATTGATCAACAAGCCCCCCAATTTAGTCCTGGAAGAACTTGATAATCTGTTGAAGATCCCGCAGACCGACACCGTGCTTCGGGTAGCAAATGTAGACCTCTTCGCCTAGAGCACCAAATTTACTTCGGAAACCAGCCTTGCGACGGAGTCCCAGGCTGTCCACAATGGAAGCGTAGGTAGTAGCCAGGAACCTGGCACGAATACCATGAAGATGCTCTCCGGGAGTCAGCTTCTCGGAAACCCCGACGCCAAAGGTGACTTGACCTGTGATTGTGGACAGGGCGTACTCAATCAACACCTCAATGGCACCGTTAACAGAACCGGGAAAGTCAAGTGCCCACTTGACTTGCCAGCCATGTTTGGGAGATAGCTTGGCCAAAACCACCATGGCCAGGACTTTGCCGTCCTTCTCGGCTGCGTAATAGCGGCGGTGCTCCATGTCGACCCAGGGGCGGACTTCGGTAAGATGCACTTGCTTGCCCTTGCGGTTGGCCTTCCAGTTCACGATGGCTTCGTCTGCACGTCTGATAAAGTCGGCATCAGGCTTGACTTCGTGAATCTTGACGCCCTCACGCTCGACACGCCTGGCCTTGGGGCCACCACCATTAATGCTGTGGTGCTTGGTGGCATCAACACGCTGTTCCTCAGTACACGACAGAGTTCGCCAGCTCATCTGCTGAGCGAGAATTTTTTGAATCTCGTAAGAGACGAGCATCCATACGGGGGTAAGCTTGAGCTTAGAGAGGACAAACTTGACGAATGCTGCACAGACATCTTTGTACTGAGACTTATCACAGAGAGGATCTCCGGTGATCATGGCAAATTTGTCCTGCTTGACGTAGCCAACGGCCGCGCCAGTTGGGTGTCTCCAGATCTCGAATCGTTCATCCAACCAAGAGGTATTGGAAGCATCGCCATAGTTAGCAATAAGCTTCTCGATAGGTGGCATGACGCCATCTCGAAGAGGCTTGGTAGTATCTGCGTCTGGGTGAGGCAGACCGGGTGCCCGTTCGGGCAGTGACTTGGGGTCACGGTGAAATAGAGATGCATATCGGACATCCCCAAGCTCAAGCATCCAAGCCACAATTCGCTCCAGGCCGAGACCAGCGCCGGCATGAGGTGGTGCACCGAGGTCAAAGGCTGCAAGGTAGTCTTCCATGCCGTCTTCCGAAATGCCCACTGCCTGCATATTCTCGCGAAGTTCAGCGGCATCGTGGATACGCTGGCCGCCAGAGCAGATTTCTTGTCCGCGGATAAAGATATCGAACGACCTCGTCCAAAATGGGTTTTCGGGGTCCTTGTGGGTATAGAATGGGCGAGCGCTGGCTGGAAATTTGTCCAATACATAGTAGTCCGTGCCATACTTTTCCCGGACCAGTTCGCCGAGTCGTATCTCGTCGGGTGTAGACAGGTCTTCCATTTCAACGTCACGGCCGTCATCTCGCAACATCTGAATGCCATCCTCAAAGTTGAGTATAAGAGTTTCATCCAGCCACTTAAACTCCTTGCTTGGCCAACGCTTCTGAACTTCCTTCACCTCAGGCATAGCATAAACAGAAGTGAAGACATTTTTCAAGAACTCATCAATGATGCAAATAACTTCGTGGTAGTCGTGTTCAATTGACATCTCGATGTCGAGCCCAGTGTACTCTGTAAGATGGCGATGAGTGTTGGAGTTCTCGGCGCGGAAAACGGGACCGACTTCATATACTCGGCCAAAGTCGGCGGATACTGCACTTTGTTTTGCTAGCTGAGGGCTTTGAGCCAAAAAAGCATTGCGTCCAAAGTAGTTGACTTTGAAAACAGCCGCACCACTCTCGGTAGCCGCGGGCTGGAGCTTGGGGGTGTTAATTTCGACAAAGCCCTGCTGCTCAAGGGTGTCCCGAAAAATGCGAGTCACCATGGAGCGGATTCGGAACAGGGCCTGGTTGGAGGGATGGCGGAGATCAAGGATTCGGGATGTCATGCGGTTGCGTAGCGTCTCGGGAGGTTTGTAGTTGGTGAATGGCGCTCCCTGTGCCGCATTCACAAGATGTATGGAATGCACCTCGACCTCAACTCCAGAGTGTGTAGCGGAGCGGACGGCCTCGGGAGGTGCCTTGAGCACTCCATTGACCTGGACCAAGGATTCGGAGTTCAACTTTTGTACCCATCGAACCATGTCGAGGTATTCTCGAGAAAGCACGCCCTGAACGGTGTTTGTTTGGTCGCGGAAGAGGAGGAAGTCGAGATTCTTGGACAACTGTCGCTGAGTAGAGATTCTGGCTCGAAAATTCACCTCAGTCCCGAGAGGGAGCTTGTCCAGCTCGGCGATGGGGTTGAGCTCATAGGGATGGGTAGGCCAATCGGCACTCATGCTCGTGCGGCCGCTCTCCATGCTGGACCTGATTGATTCACCGGCCCGATCTGGGCTCGAGCGTTGAGATCTGTCGTTCAACTTGTCCAGCTCCTGCCGGTAGTTTGTCAAGCTGAGCTTCTCAATGCTGGAGCGGGCAGAGTCCCTGGCGACATCAACGGCACTGTCTGCCATTTTAGGGTGATGCCTAGGACTACCAAAGGCGCTGCCAGCAAATGTTGGAGTCGCAGGAACAGAAGGGGAGCCAGGGGTTGAATTTAACGGAGTTGATGATGTAGTCCAATCGGCCGAATAAGTAGCATCAGTGACGTCGCCACGTTGATTCGGGCTGGCAGTGCGGTTGCGCGACTGCGACCGTGACCGAGGCAGCCCGAAGGCTGATGCCAATAGGCTAGAGGCCGCAGGCATGACTACTAGGAAACCGGGTTTATTTTGTGCTATCAGATATTATTAATCTGGTTCACTCGGGTCGAGGACTTCCTTGCGTCGTCTTGGTTGACACAACAGCTCGCGAGAGTCTTGACGTCGTAAGGCGGGTGGCGGACCACAAGTTTAGGAGTCTGGCCCTGGCTGGCCCTGCACGTCACTCTGCAGGTGTACTCGGTAGGAGGAGTCTGAATGACGTCCACGGCGCACGGTGCACGGTGCTTTATGCAGCCCAGATGAGATGTTGCGGACAGGGGTGGGCTCAAGGGCTAGCGCACGGTTTTGATTCCGGCTGAGCCGAGCCTTTTCGTCAACGGATCGAGTAGACGATAATTTGGTGAATCGCCTCGAGATTGCTTCTCGCGACACTGCGTTGGTACAATGTAACTGTAATTTTCCGTTTGCAACCGGCGGGAGTGCCAGGTAGCTGATGAGGCGGGTTGGCGCTTGAATGGTGAGATGGATGACGGCGCAAGGGCCCGACGTTGCCAGCAGTGGGCTTGGTCGACAATATGAGACAAAGCGCCTGTCACAAAACAAAGAATAATCAAGGAGTCGTGAAGCTCAGGGAAAAATGGGATAAGGGGAAGAGCGGCTGCTGCGCCTCTTATCGTGGTCCAGAGCAGTCCTGTAGGGCTGGCGCCCATCTGTCAAATAGGTAAGGATCGGATCATTCACCGTCAACGACTGTGGGAAGAGGCCGTCGAATCCGTCCTTTTGCTGTCATGTTCCCCCGCGCGCATTTGGCCTGTGAGGAGACTCCGATGGGGCTGCTAAGCTAAGCGGCGAACCAACTACTGCGTACTTAAGTACCTGGTTAATAACTGATTAAGCTGACATCTTAGCCATGACTAACCACGACACACCACAGCATCGGTCTACACCGAGGGCGGCGCCACTCGAGTCTCTATCCCCTAAAAGCAGCGAAGACTACAATTATGTAGCTGCGGGGATAAGCAACCAATTACAAGCTTCATTTTACATGGTACCTTAATCCCCTAACATACTATATGATGATATAAGTACCCGTGATAATCTAGGTTACAAAACGCTACATCATAAACGCTCCAATCTTCACTATTTTTGATGTCAATTGAAGTCACCAGCTGCTACCCGGGGCCCTGTGGATACTGTGACCTAGTTGTAGTCTTCGCTGCTTTTAGGGGATGCCCATGGCAAAATGACCACGCAACAAAGTTATCGGAGAGCGAGGAGCATATGTGGCTCGCAAGGCTGTTTTTCATTTTCTACCACTTATTCCCCAGACCCTCAAATGCTGATAATCAGCGATACCGTGACCCGCTGGCCCTCGTTCGGTGTTTGACAGCTCCCGTACTGCCAAGGCCCGTGGCTGGACGGTTGGACTGTCGCCTCTGAAGCCCTGGTGGGGTAGCCAAAGTCTGTCCAGAACATCATGGAAGCTGAAGGGCCATCCATTCATGATGCCCGCGTTGTGCCTCATGGTGGACCCTCGATTTTTAAGCAACGTTGTACTGGTTGCATCTGGCGCAACATGTACAGTACTCCGTACTGCGCTAGCATGGAGATATCTGGCGCCAAATTCCACGAATGGTTGGTAAGCTGGAAGAATGGGAGCCGTAAAAGACGTCTCCAGAAAAATTGTTTGCGATTCTTGGCGCAATTTTTTAATGTCAGAGTGA